TCTTGATTGGCTTATCTGGACTTGAACTTAACATGTGCATGACAGTCTGAGGAGAATGGAGGACCGCATTTCAGTTTGTTTAAAATTTAGGACAACCTGAGATATATTTTTGACACTAAAGGAAAATAAGCAACAAAAAAAACAAGATAAGGTGAAAGTGCATTTTGTCAAATCTCATTTAATAAATAAAAAATGATATCTAGTCCTATAAGTCTTCAGATTAGGAGAGTATAAAGTCAGACAGACAGATTGTCTCATTGTTTGTTTAACAAAACTAAGCTAAAATGCAGATGCAGTGTGTAAGAAAATAAGTACTCCCTATGAGTCACCAACTTGTAGAACCACCCTTAGCACCAATAACTTAAAGCATTAGGATTGTATCAGTCTCTCACATTGTGGTTGAAGGGTGTGCTTTCTTTTTACCATGACTTTTTGTTCTCGTGTTGCTTTTCCAGGATGTTTAGTTCAGCAAGTCTTTCTGGTGAGATTTAGAAAACTCAGGCACTAATAGTTATCAGCTTGATAAATCAAACCAGTTTATTCACAGCGCTGTAAAAGAGGTGGTGTTGGCAGCATATGGGCAGGTCTACTGGCAGGCAGCAGACTGGCATATTGTACAAACAACAACCAAGCTATAATATTAGAAAACTGCAAAGAGGTTAATCACATAATACATGCTCCGCAGCAACACAGTTTTTGCAGCCAAAGCATCAGAGTGTGAGTGTGTATCTTCTGCTATAAAAAACTGCTATATTCATTCATTCTTTCATACATACAGTTTAAAGCACTTTAGGCCATCGGGAAGTCTAGAAAGGCATTAGTGGCTGTAAATGCAATCTTATTTGTATCACTGCTCCATTATTAAGATACAGGATTAGAAAAGGGTGTTCCATTAAACTAATGTTTTGCTTCAATGTATTCTCATGGTATTCAAATAGGTTTTAGCCTTCTTTCAGCTGCTGTCCCAATGTTGTTTACACAAGTAAACACCCTTAAATAAATAAAACAAAAAAACAAACAGAATTTAGACTGTTAAACAGGCTGACTTGCTTATTTTAGAAGCAGCAAAGAAAGGTCCCTGTATTGAGAAGACAGAGGGTTTAGGTGCTGGCTAATAACTCAAATCCCTCATGTGACCTTGCAGGAATGATTATGTCATTTAACGGTGAACTGATTGGTCAGTAGGTAATTGTTATGTGCATGTTGATGTCTTATCTCATGCACAACCTTTTTGGGAACAGGTTAGGTTTGCCACAGAAGTTACCACAGCGATTTAAGCAGATAAGATGAGAACTGCATTTGTAACACTGAAAATCCAGAGGTAAACCTCAATTCACCTTATCTAGCAAGGCCCCAAAACCTAATTTATAACACCAGTGTCTTTCCTGAGGAGGGTCAGCATGTCATCATCAGCATCCGGCCCCATTTGTTTGCAAGTTTTATTCAAAGAAATGCAACCCTGCAGCTAAAGGATGCTGTTGCTGTTAAGAATCAATAGAGGTGATGAAAAGAGAGGTCCATCAACTGTTTTTGTCATCCACCTGTATCCCAGCATTCCTTTCTTTTCTATGGTTTTGGTAAATTTGTGCATTTTTCTTTCTCCAAACTTCATTCAAATGTGTTTTATTGTTGCAGTTAAAATGCTTTATTCCTTAGATTTCCCTTAAGGGTCTGCATGCACAACACTAAATGCAAATATCTGAATGAAGAGTCAAACTATCGATAGAGCAAGCAAGTAGAAAGCTAATCAGATTCATATAAGATGTCAGTGTTACCAACATTATCATTCATTCATTATAAGAGACCTGGAGTTGAGTTTGTTTGCCTCCTGGTTGTCACAGGTTGAATAAACGTCCTTGAGAATCATCAACCAATGAATTATATTTCTTTCTTTTGATCTTACTGGAATTAATATTTAAATCAAAAATTGACATTGAATGGGACTTCCAGTATCCATCTCATCAGGTGGAAATGAAAAGCGCTTTCATACATCATAGTTTCACCAATGTGCTGCTATCCGTTTCCCCATTCTTGAACGTCAAAACTTTTAAAACCTGCTTCCCTGAATCTAAACCGTAACTGGTTGAAACACAGCCAGCTAGTTCGTGATTTATCTGTAGATCTAAGTTGTTGATAACTCTGGAATGACTTAATGAAGGGTTGCAGACTAAGACTAACAAAAAGTCTAAGATCCACTGAAAGTCAGACCCTTCTATTCCCATGCTGTCATTTGTCACCACAGCTCCAGATCAGCTGCTGGTGAACATAACTCATAGCCCAAGCACCACCACACTTCCCCCACTTAAGTCTGTGTGATTTTTGGCCATCTGAGACGAAAGTTGTCAGAGTTAAAAAGCGGAACAGTCAATGATTTAGAAGAGCGGCAGTCAAGGGTATGCAGCTGTCACAGAGATAAATGATACAGAGTACAGTACAGACGCTACAGGTAATTCTATACTTTGATGTGCCAGTGAGGATGTTCTGCTGAGCAAAGACAAACTCTGAGAGAGTTAGGTTTTTTCTCGAAGTTGCGTTCAGTAAGAATATAGAGAGTTTATTTAAGTTTCCTTTGCGCTTTTCTTTGAACCACATATAAGCTCAAGGTTCATTCTGATTACTACGTATCTGTAGCCCCATGGAAAAAGCCTAGCAAACTGCTAAGTGCATCTGGTGCTCTTAAATGACTTCTACTTGCCACTTAACAGCATATCATTTGGCTTTGAGTGTCTTTTGTATAATGCCTGTTGAGTTGGCGCTATTGTAGTACTTCCTGTTTAACATTCTACGTATCTTTCTGGGCCAAATTCCAGTCAGTCAACCATTCATGAAGAGACAACGTGAATATACTGTAGATCTGATTAATCAAAGTTGAGTCACACGGATGAGATTACCAAGAAGTATGTGGATTTTCAGGCTCCCTGACAATCACATTATCAGGCATGATGGGCATTAGCCAACCTGATGTTTGCACGTTGCATTTCTGTCAGAGTGTGATGAACACTTTCCAACAAAACAGGCCGAGGCCATGTTTGTTACATTCATACACGTATACTCATGGAAACAATAATGTTGGGGAAATGTTAGATTAGTAAAACGACAATGTTTTTTTTTTTTTGTCTTTTCAAATAAATACAAATGTTTGAGCAGTAGGCGGCACGGTGGTTAGCACTGTTGCCGCACAGCAAGAAGGTCCTGAGTTCAATTCCTCCATCAGGCCGTAGTCTTTCTGTGTGGAGTTTGCATGTGTTTGCGTGGGTTCTCTCCGGGTACTCCGGCTTCCTCCCACCGTCCAAAGACATGCAGCTTGTGGGGATAGGTTAATTGATTAATCTAAATTGTCACTAGGTGTGAATGTGCGAGTGAATGTGAGTGTGAATGGTTGTCTGTCCCTATGTGTTAGCCCTGCGACAGACTGGCGACCTGTCCAGGGTGTACCCCGCCTCTCGCCCTATGACAGCTGGGATAGGCTCCAGCGCCCCCCGCGACCCTGAAAAGGATAAGCGGAAGCGAATGGATGGATGGATGTTTGAGCAGTTAAGTCTTAAACTCAAACAAATACTCTTCTTTGACCTGACTGTTCATTTTGGACTGACATCAATGTGTCTGTGTGTTTCTATCACATACATTTCATTAGATATTAAAATGGTATGGTAAAAAGAAAATCTTACATGTAACTTGGTTATATCTCCAGATGTTCAATGCACTTAGTTAAAGTACTTATTTTAAAGTGAGGCAGTCGAAGCTTGGAGATAAAGAATACATTTTGAAAGCAGTGAGCCCAGGGTCATGTTGTTGGTGTGGGTACAGTGTATAGTAGAGCATGTGCGCTGTGCTGCGAGCTCCTGTTACACAAGCAGTCAGCCAGTCATTTGCTATGCGATACTTGTGGCTGATACAAGGATCGGATCTCTATTGAAGCAGACATACCTCCATTGTTATTTTAAACCGATGTTATTTGCAAGGACACTTTAATGGTAAGAGCAGCAGGTCACAGGTTTATGGCCCGAACTACTGATTGCTGATTAAACAGAAACGCTGTCAAACGGGAGGAGAGGAACACGGAGTGCCAGCATTGTGGATATCTTTTCTGCAGAGCTATCTGTCATGTTATGGATTCACCACAAGCATTGCTCTTGTCAAGACAGTCGCCTTTATACCGCACACAACAGTATCACAGCAAATTCATCAAGGTTAGACAGTTGAACTTAAATGACCTTTCAGTTTTAATCTGCTAAGAAATGCAAGAGGTGCAGTATTGCAGACTGTCGATCAGGGAAGCAAGACAACGTAACATATTTAACTCATAAACTGAAGCTTCTTCTTCCTGTTTTTTTTTTTCTTACTTTCTTTTTTTAAAATCAGGATCAGAAACTTTATTAATCCCTAAGGAAATTATGTGGTTACTGTTTCTCCAAGACACTGTAACAGACTGAGCTACATTTTAATAATACAATATATTACAAAGTTACAAAATATTAAAATGTCTCTAATATACAAGTAGTTTAATTATAAGTTATTTTGACTATACAGGATGTGCAAAACGGTGCAACTATCGCACTGTGTGCTGTGCATTAGGTGGAGGAGTTGTACAGGCAGATATCCACAGCCAGCAATGATTTCGTGTGTTGTTCAGTGGTGCATTTGGGTAATCTCAGTAATCTCAGTCTCTCACTGATTGAGCATTATGGCTTTGTGCCTTTACACTGTATCCTTTGCTTTTCCACAGGGGTGACCCCAGTCTCGTCAAACTAAATGTAGCCATAACCTGTGGTTACCTCCTATATGGTGAGGTTTAATTTTTTCTTCTGTCTTTGTTTCGTTTTTTTGCATATGTGGCTGCCATTACCCTTCGTGTGTGTGTGCGCAAGTAGAGCTTTGTATTGTAATCAAGTTACTGTAGAGTCGGATAGTTTTAATTAAATGTATATTACATGCTATGAAGGATACCTGTGATACGTGAATGCATAGGAGCATCGAAAAAGGACAAAATATTTGACATGTCCGACTTGGAAGAAAGTCATTATTTTGTCTTATCATGTGTCCCTTGAATTGGAATTTAAAACACTTCTAATGTTTCCTTCAGAATTCAAACCAAAGGAAGACACACCTACACTTTCTTTTAATAAAAAACAAAAACCCTGTACATTAAATGAAAGAATAGTCAGGAGTCCTTCATTCCCTGGTTGGTGCACTCCAGGTCATTTGTGAACTTGCAACGTTAGTTTTTGTTCTCCTCTGCAGCCTTGGAGAGCTCAGCATTGACATTTTGTAGGTTCTTTACTTTACAATATAAAGTGCCTCGAGGCGATTGTTGTGATTTAGCGCTATATAAATAAAAATTCTAACTTGCATAGAATCTGCAGAACAGGACAAAAACTATTATGAAGTTAATAATAATAATAATGGTAACTTTATTTTTATAGCACTTTTTTAAATGCTTCAGTTTAAATAAAATAACACAAAAGATAAGCGCATGTCTAAAACATACAAGCGCATACTTCCATACATTCAAAGAACAAAGAACATGGGCTGAAGAAGAAGAAAAACTTTTCCTAAAGAAGGTTTAGGAGTTTTTGCCTCTGGTTTTAAAATAGATGTGGAAGTGTGAAACAGTTAGGAGACATTGATCAGTGATTGCAGGCTGAGTGCTCGATTAAGGTCTTAGCAGGTCTGCTAGAAAGGCAGAACCCGGCCATGTAGGGCTTTATATGTCATTAATAAAAAATGAAGAATGAATTTGAGAATATGAGATTACAAATTCAAATATTGGTAAAATACGGTTCTTAACAGGTGACTTGATATTGCTGGATAGCTGGACAATGTAATGACTGATCTTAGAGAAGCTGTAAGAGCCAAACACAAGAACCTCCGTTTTGCCAGTATTGAGATGGCAGAAATTTAAAGACATCCAACAAATAACAGCAGTGAAGCATTCCCCGAGATAGGAGAGGCTCTTCAGGTTGTTTGACTTAACAGAAAAATGTATCATCAGCATAACAGCGGTCGGAAATCCCTGTTAGAAGCTATTTAATAGATAACCCAGGGGTAACATATATACAGAAAACAGAACTGGACCCAGGATTGAGCTCTGTGGAACCCCTCATATGAGGGGCTCTGATAAGGACATACAGTTAATATGAATTCTGGAGTATCTGTCAGATAAGTATGATGAGACCATTTAGGAGCTAGGCCTGAGATACCAAACCAGTTCTGTAATAAGAATGGGATTATCAGTGGTGTCAAAGGCTACTATTACATACAATTCCACATTTTAGGAAACATAACGAAGATCTGTCGTGGAAAAAACTTAGATAACAGAACTCCATGACACAACTGAGCAGGTTGATAGCAACTAGGGTTTAATTGTGACCTGATATAATTGATCTTAACAGACAACAGAAGAGGAAAAAAAATGTTTTTCACATTCAGCCGAGGGCTGGGCAGGAAAACCAGACTGAGCAGGATTAAGGAGTCTGTTCGTGGTGTTAAACAAGAACCTTGGACTGTTTTTCATGCTAATTAAGCCAAAGAAGTAGACTGGTTAGTAACTGGTTCCGTCATGAAAAGGCAGTGATTTGTATTTTTCTATCTCAGCTTTATTACAAATATAATTGACACTTGGTAAGAGAGTTAAAAATGTAGCCACTGTGTTCTCATTAAAGATCCTAGGCTTTATGATTCTCCTCTTTGAAAACGATACTGGCTGCAAAACTGTGGCAAAAAGATTACACTTATGGTGAAACAGTAAATATGACATACAGAGAGAGTCTAAAGATGAGCCAAGAGTAAAACAACCAACCAGGATGTGCCCACCATTGTGTGCGACCATTAACATGTTACACTAAATGAAATGCCTTGTGTAAAATTCAGTTAGAGGAATCAATGCGCAAGTTAAAGTCGCATACCAAAATGAGCTTGTCAAATTTAACAATAGATGAAGGTCGATTGGGGAACTCATTTAGGGAAGTTGGTAGCAGATTTAGGAGGTCAGTAGATAATAATATAGCAAACTAGATTTTCACAGTCAATTTTGAACAATAGTAATTTGAATGAATGAAAAGAAGTGGGAGGAAATGGAACACAATTCAAATTACCCTTGTAAACTGCAGCGATTACCCCACCACAGCCCGAGCGCCTCAGGGCATTCAAGAATTTGTAGTTTAGTCAGCAAAATTCCACAAGGGGGCAGTAGTCCTCTAGTTTGAGCCAAGTCTCAGTGGTACAGAAGATGGTAATAAACCATTAATAATAAATGATTCATTAGTAAAAGTTCAGTCGTTTCAAAAGAGCAATAACTGCTGACTTGGGAGGCTGGGCTTTGTCAGGCACGGTAATTAGACTGTTAGGCCTGGTTGCAGAAATTTGTGATGACTAATAAATGGTTTCCATCTGCGCCTTTATAATTACAGGGATTGATAAAACTGTGGCATCAGTCGAATATGAGATTGGGTAATTAGCAGGGGAATCTGTGGAATCTGCAGCCAAATAATGGCCACATGAGTGGGTTGGTCATCGTGATGGTAGGGAAATGTCCAGAGCAAGCTCATTATCAGCGACTGAACTTTTGAAAATACTAGGAAAGGAAATTGTCCACTAGTATACCAATTTGATTGTTCTCTCAAAAGAATAAGAAATAAAAACATATTTCATGGACTTTTTGCTTAAGTCCATGAAAATGCTGCATGAGTGCTGTTGAAAATGGAGGACCATAGATGTCTCCTTCAGTTTCTTCTGCAAATTTGTGTTCTTTGTTCTTTTGTTCTTGCTCTCCTTATCTTCAGTTGCTGTTTTATGACTTGATTCTAGTTTTGAATGTATTGTCAGCTCTCCAAGTTTTGTAACAAGTTTTAATTCATCTGTTGATGAATTGATTATGTCAAAGTCATTTTTAGAGTCAAAGTCCTGAGTATTCTGTGTTCGTGTTAGACTCAGTTCAGCCTGGGCTCTGTTCTTTTCTTCTAAAGTCAGCTGTGTAATGTTTTGCTAGCTTAATGACCAATGTCTCCACCTGCTCTCCAGACCTGGTGCTGCTAGCATGTAATTGGAGCACTATGGGGGACAGCTTTTTCGTTTGCCACCACTTGGCGGCGCTCTATGCTTACGGATATGTTTTGGTGAGTGGCTCATTTTTCTGAAACCCGATTCTTGTTGTTTTTGTGTCCTTCTGCTTCCTAAATTCCTCATCATCTGTGTTGTTTGCTCTTCGCAGACCCGTGGTGTCCTTCCCTACTTTGCCAATTTCCGTCTCATTTCTGAGCTATCCACACCATTTGTGAACCAAAGGTGAGTCATCCTCACTTGTGAATATGTACTTGTCAGGATCCCCTTCACACCATATGGCAGACATATCTTGTTCCCTGACATTTCCTAATGGCTCTTTCTCCTCCAGGTGGTTCTTCGAGTCATTAAAGTACCCACGCTCACACCGGTTGGTGGTATTAAATGGGGTTGCTATGGCTGTGGTGTTCTTCCTGGTGCGCATTGCAGTCATGCCATCCTACTGGGCCAGTGTATTCGCCACTTTTGGCACTCCGGAGTTTGAGCGGCTGGGCTTGGGTGCCCAGGTGGCATGGATCACCTCCTGCATTGCCCTGGATGTCTTGAACATTATTTGGATGTACAAAATCACTCGGGGCTGCTACAAGGTCCTGACTGGGAGAGGAGGGCGAAAGGTCAAGGTAGAAGCAGAGGCGTCATCTTCCTTAGATAAGAAGCACACAAACAACCATACAGACTGAGGAGGTGTAGAGCACAGCATTTGTAGACACAGACAATAAGCATGGAGGGAGGCTGGACAACCAGGAACCTTGCTCTTTTAATAAAGCCTCAGCTTCCCTCTCACCCTCAATCTCAGCCCCTGATCTTCTTGAAGTCAGCTAGTGGCCTGGGCTAAGAGTCCTCAGGTTCTCACCCTGGCACAGGACAAGCACCAGCGTTTGCAACCTTTTTCACTGACAGATTAGTATCCTGCTGGGTGATAGCTTTCAGACGACAAGGTAGAGCTCAAAAGAACACTTTTAACTCTGTCTGTTACTCCTGTCACTACCACCAATCCTCTGTCATCTCCCCCACAGCCTGCTCTCACACTCAACTTCAGCCAAAGCCCAATCCTCTGAAGTGCCTGTGGGAGGGGGCGTGAGGGGAAGGGAAAAAAACAGGAAAGCAATAACAGTAGAGGAGTATATCGCCCATTACATTACTGCTTAGCCCCCTTCAAAAACAACAAAAAAAACAATCGCACTCACTTTTGCTCCTGACAAACTCGAGGCTTCTTCATCATTCCACACTCGTGGCCTGCAGAGTGACTAATTCATCCGTCAGACCCGTACAGTGTTTGTGAATCTATAGGGCTCTTGTCTTAAACTCATCAAACCTCACAAAAAAAGAGACAGGAAAAAAAACACCATGAATGCCTCTTCTACAGTATCACCTGCTGTGGCCTCCTCGTAACAAGTGGCACCTACCTTTATCACCAGCCATGCCCCTCCAGCCTCGTTATCATTTGGAGTTTCTATGTAAAACACAGAATATGCATGCAGGAGAGACAGAGACTCACTCTCTTACACCTTTCGCTCCTAACAGGACAGTTTTGCCTTTTCAGTATTCTTCATGATGGCTCTTTTTTTTTAATTTAACACTTGTCATTAGCAATCAAAGGAATATCATTTTCATTGCAACCCTCTGCCTCACTGGGTAGGGCTCCACAATTGAGCTCCAGCATTTTCGTTCTACCTCTCCCCCTGCCTTACAAAAGAGTCTGTCGATCCCGTCCTCATGAATTAATCAGCTGTTTATTTTTTTTTCCCTGTTAAAAAAGGAAAAAACTGTTTTTATCTTTCAAGACTTCATCTGTGTCAACATTAATGGCTCAGAGCGACTTCTCCCTCTGTCTTCAGAGCTTATCCCAGCCAGTGCAGTGCAGCAGAGCAGCTTTGCTAAACTGCTTCTAATTGTGTTGTTTATTGTTTGTTTGTTTGTTTGTTTGTTTTTGTAGTTAGATCCCCCCCCACTTATCCACCCTGTTTTCAGTGACTCTAATAGTGGAAAGCAGACTCACCCACATGTACTTGTTCCACTTGTTTGCACATGCACTGCATAGCGTGCAATCTTACACACTGTATTCAGTGCCCTTTTTTTAAACACCATGGTGGTGCTTGTCCTTTTTGCAGAATCTGAGCAATAGGAATGGTAGCAATATGCCATTTTATTATTTACATTAGTTTTTTCAAAAATTGTCTGGCAGATAAGAACATGAATTTCGATGGACCGGTCTGCGACATCAGAAAGCACCGTGGCAATCTGCATGATTTACTTTACTGTATAAAATGTATCGTCACGATAGAGCATGGTACGATTGACATATTTCTGTGACGCCTTAGTGAATAGGGTAAATAGATGACTAACATCTAAATATTAAATGCATTAATCTAATGCTAAAGGGGTTGGGTGGGGCTGGGCTGGGTATCTTCCAAAATGTGTTGTCCTCTCAGAGCATACTCAAAGCATGTACTACTTGTATTTTTTGATTGTTTCCCCTCAACCTGCATGTCTGTACAGTGTATACGCATACAGTAGGTAAGTTGTGCGTACTGTATGGCTAAGATGTTACCACACTTTCCATAGGCCAGTTGGCATTACTCAGATTTACAGACTTCAGTTCTTACAGATTCATCAGTTCTTCTGTCAGCAAATTCTTAACAGCTGATTTCATGACAGACAGAAACACAGCAGATGTTTCAGGTTTGGGATTTTTTATTTTTTTTTATTTTTGCTATCAAATCTTGAAATAACAGGTTGCAGGTTTGTACTTTCTTCGCTTGAAAGGGTTTTATTTAAACTTGAGCTGCATTCACATCCAAAAATGAATGACAGTAACTACATATCCCTAAAAATCTGCAAGAAAATCTAATTTAATAAATTTTTCCATCCTTGCACAACTTAAACTAAACATTAATTATATAGCATTTAAATAAAACCCTTTCTCTTTTAGCCTCAGCCCCCCCCCCCCCCCCCCCCTCCTCCTCCCAGCAAATGTTACTTGCACAGACACACACACACTTGAAGTGTTAAACTGGTGGATTTCTCCTTCGAGTCTTTGTCTCGTTGGATCAATGTTTAAAATAGTCTGAGAATCTCTGCTGCTGTTTTCACTGTGGAAATATAAAGCACATTCCCCGTGGGGCTGTGACTCTCCTGTATTTCTGTCTGTCACCGCTAAGGAGGGGCTACAGTATCTTGTGCCTTTTTAGACAAACGGTGGATGTGATGCAGTCAGATTTGAATTAGCATGAACTTTCTAATGTAATATCCAGTGATTATTTCCTCTATATTCCTTATGTATACTCTGTGTATATATATTTTTATAACCTGCCTGCACAGTGATTAATCCGGCCAAGTATTATAATCCCAAAGCTGATCCCAGCAGGGGAGCCCGTTTTCTGGGCAGGGTATATATCTGAATGTTGCGAGAGGTTATTTAGTGGCATTGAAATGATCCTGCAGATGTCGAAAATGAAGTTCTTTTTGTTGTGTTTTGTTTTTTTTAAACACAAGTTCTTTAAGCTGTACACGTAGTGGACGGGAAGGCTAGTGTCTCATTTCTCCAGCCTCCTGAAATCAAAGCTGTGAATATTCAGTCTGAACTACCGAGCACGGGAGACTTTACTGAGACTCGGCCGAGCAGTGATGCTGATACGCTTCTTGTTGTAGCGTATTGCTCTTTTTGGATGAGTTTAGACTGAGACTGCTCTCTGGCACATGTCTCATGCACAATGTAAAAAGGACACAGTTGGGATGTTTGTTGTGTAGCTCTTTTGCGAACTGGACAAATAGAGTTTTTGTACCTGTCAGGGTTTTTCTACAGAATATATTTCAAGATCTCTGTCGCACACTTTGAGGCTTTTTGGAAAGAGAGTGAGTGGAATGATATAAGGCTGTGATCTGTATTCTGTACTAATTATTTTTATTTGTTTACAACAGCCAGATTGCCACTATTTGTTATGGCATTTCATAAAGAGAAATTGCTTAGCTATATGTGTATATATATCAAAAAGTTAGCAAAAATCATCCTGTGATCAAACTCTGATATATTTGGAACAAAATTGCAAGTTTGGATTTGAACCTCCACCAGTTTGCCTGGAATGCGGTTAGGTTGTTCTTCCACATGCTCAACAAGCATATGTTGAAATGAAATACGCTTTGGCCTTACAGCTGAGCTTTTCTATTGGGGTCTCAAAATAGACAGACATTTAGACAAAAAGACTGCTGATATTAAATGGGTTGCTTCTGAGCTGGTGGAAGTTGTATGCTATACTTCAGTTTCTCTCACGGGTATTCACGGTACAAGACGAAACATTCTTTCCTTTAGTTTTGTCGTTCTTTGTTTTCTGGTTGTGCAATGAAATGTAATCGGCTGAATCTGGAAGATTTCTATAATGATAAAGTTCAGTGATGATCACGTCTTTTCTTTTTTTTTTTTTTTCCCCCTTTTTCTCCTGTGAATGATTTGCCAGTGTGGCTTCTCCTTTTACATCCTCTGTCTGTTTTTGTGTTTTAATGCAATGATCTTGTTATGTTTTCTGGAGATTTTAATGTGAAACAGCCTACACTACACACACACGGAGACGCACGCAGCCTTCGGGGTCCTCGTCCGAGCATTACCTTGTGACTCAGGCTGTTGTTGTCTACAATGACCACTACTAATCATCACATAATTGTAGTGCTGAAAGCTGAGACTTACTTGAAGTGTTTTTTTTCTTCAATAAAGTTGAAAACATAGAAAACCAGTATGTTGGAGTTTTATTTTGACTCTAAATTTCTATTTTCATTATGCAAACTTTTATAATATGGCGGGCGGCTACAGGTGCAACTCCCCTCTAATTCAATGGCGCTTCAGTATAATTTAATTACAATGTAATTATACTGTATATACTTAAACCTGTGTACACTAGAATAAAGTAGTAACAATCAGTTTTTTTTAATTATACTTTACTTAAATTTACTTTAGTTTGTGTTTGAACAGGAAACAAAAGTAAGTTGGACTTACATATATATTAGTAAAATAAAAGGACAATTGAATAATAGAACACCCATCATGCACATCAGTATAATGAAGATTATTCCACTCCATAATAGGACCCGCACCCAACAAATACGGTGCATTTAACATGTAAGATGGAGAAATACGGTTTGTTTTTCTGCAAAATTACCATGAAATTGCACAGTAAAACATACTTATACATTTGTTACCCCATTATTCTAGTCCACCGACTTTTCAGTATTTATAGGTAAATATAATTAGATTGTAATTTCAAATACAACACACTGAAATTCCATTTAGTTACACTTTTAGTGACAGGTTGTATTATAAAGTGTTATCAAAAACACTGACGTCAGCATGACCTGTTGTTTGTGGTGTAACCTGTCCAGTCATTTGTCAGCAGTCAGTAGTATGACAGTTCTACTTAGGCAAGCCAAAACTAACTACTGGTAGCTGGCACCACTGCTCTGTGTTTTCTTTTAAAAAGTGTTTGTGAGGAAAGTGATGGAGATATTCAACAAAAAAGGAAAGGTGAAGCACGGACTGAGACGTTCGCTATGAGATAAAAGGGAGGAGAGCATTGCTCGAAATGGGGATGAAAGAGACCCGTGAAGGAGCACGGAAAGTGAAAAATTTGGAGGAGGGGTCTGAGCCACTGTAGAGGTCTGTGATTGAAACCATCTCCTGTGTGTGTGTGTACCAATCGGTCAAGGGGTTTGGTCAGAGTCCGTGCTTGAGAAGCTTTACCAAAAAAGGTCACATAACAGACTCAATGAACATTTCCTCTTGCTACTACAATGCACATTCACTGTTTAACTTCAGTCATGTATGGGCTGAATCTCATCACCTGTGTGTTTTGTACACAGAGAAACACACCTGCCTGTTACAAAAACACGTTATCCGTCAGCGCTTTTCTTTTTTTTTTTAACGTAGCATACATTTTGTACGGGCTCTCTGGTTTTCACAGCACAGCCGATTTCCCCGAGAAAATCACCGTCTCCTTACGTCGACTGTGTGTTTGTAAGACATTTTAACTTAATGAATTCATGTCTGTAAATGCCAAGTCTCCTCTCTCCCTGTCTTTACAAGGTCCAATATCTGAGCTTGCTCCTAGTATGCAGCACAAGCCAGACACAACATTGAGCAAGTAATAGTTATGTAAAAATAAATAGATTATAGGGATATGTCTATTTCAAGAGGAATTTATTCTGAAGACCTTTCCCAGACACGGAGAAACAAAAACAGACATTTAAAAAGAAAAAAGAAAAACTCAAATAAACATTCCAGACTTTGGAGGAGCTATAAACGGAGTCCACTTTTACAAGGTGCTTAAAAACCCCTGGCCTGGGCATCGTTTTATAACAAACACGCTAACAAGCAGCACCTCACTGACACCAGCAATTTTAGCCAAAGGTGTCACTGGCCTGTTCCAGCATGTGAGTGAGAGCCAAGATCTGGACATAGAGGAAAACAAGCGAAAATAAAGACAGGCTGCAAATGTTCACAACTGGAACTAAGGAGAAACCCAGATATTAGAGTGCTAGTGCAAGTGTATAGATGGAAAGGTGTCAGCTGATGTGAAAAGAATAAGTACTGACAGCAGGTGATCTGGTGCAGGTGATGCTTGGAGATCTGAATGTGCCATTCAGAGTGTAAACACTGAAAAGAGTTGACATGTTAGCTGAAAAGAGAGATGAAAGCAGTGCACATGTAAGTGTAAGAGTAAAAGCTGAATAAAGGTGAGAGTTATAACTGAAAGCTGTTAAGAAGTAAAGGAAATTAAAGGCCAGCTGATGTAAAAAGTCAATAATGTCAGCGTTAAATCTCTATGAAGAGGGAAAGTTAAACATACAGTCAGTTAAATGTGCTCACAAAACATACATTGATTAGTGTGTAAAATTACATGTTCCAAAGAATTAAGCATTCTCATAAAATTAGAAATAATCCATTAAATATTGATA